CGCATTGGAGATAAGGAAAAAAAGTAAATCTAAAATCTATAAGTTAAATTATTCAGACCAAAAAAATTCGTTTGACACGTTGCATCGGACTTCACATAAGATTATCAACAAAATATTGTTATATAGATGTAGAAATATAAAAAATAAAATAGAATACTCTAAAAAGATAGAGTAGATATAATAAACTCACTTGAAATTTCTTATACGATTTCCGGATACACTTTTGGTAGTATATACTGTAAAAAGTAAAATCGTAAAAAAGGTATTTCATATATCGTTGAATTGTGAGTCTGATGAACGTCCAAGGAAATAAGAAGAAAGTACATATAAAAAGAAGAAAAGGGAATATACGTGGATTGAAAAAGGGTCGATTTCTTTTCGTTTCTCGCATGTCCAACGATGATGGTCGGACAACCAACAGTTACATACATGACGAATAATACCCCACTGCACAATGTATCGGATTTTACGAGTAACTCAGCTAAGAACAAAAAAAAAAACAAAAAGAAAGAAAAGGTAAAGGTAAAGGGGGAAAAAGAAGGAAAGGTGACGGGGTATACCGTACGCGAGAATTTTCATTGGTCGAAAGAGTAAAAGAAAATAATAAAACGAAAAATAGAAAGAGAAAGAAAATGGAGGGTGGGGAGGAAGAAAGGGGGGAAAATAAGCGTTGGAAGGCACTCAGATTTTATTACGTTATTTTGTTAATGCACTCGGTAGGGCTCGTCCACCACCACCCCCAAGTCGCGAGTGTAAGAGAGACTTTTTGCTCAAACGAAAAATATTATGTCCCTCGGTCAGAAAACGGGCTATGAAACCTCTTTATGCTTTTTCCTTCTTCCATCGAATCCAATGTTGTTTCTACGTTCGTGAAATTTCATCTACCTATATCATCCTACTACCCAAGTTGCGTTCTTACACTAAAGGAAAAATAATATAAGTATCGTTCCTTTTCTATCCTTACGAGAAGTTTTTAGTGAACTGGGGAAAAACAGGAAAGAAGAGTGTGTGTGTGTGAGTGAGATGGGTGAAAGGGGGCAAGGGGAAGGGGAAAGAAACTTAATAATGAAGAAGAAGAAACCATACCGACGACAATAAGACACTGATAAGGGAAAATCGTGTTTCCTATGGGAAAAGGCCAAGCTTATAAACGGTTTAAGCCAATGGAAAGTGATATCAACGAACCACTAGTCGTAACCAGTTGACTCACGTACTTACACCATACTTTCTTTACATTTATTCCTTGTCTTTTTCGTTCTACGTGCACGCGATGATTCCTATTTCTTTTTCTCTTTTTTTGCCTTATCTAAACGCGATGATTGATTTTTATTAAAGAGAAACATTCAATCGATAAACAATGTATGGGTGTATCGAATAATACGACTCTCGTGATAAGTTTTATTTTTTAATGAATTCTGTAAGAAAATTTTTGATTAAAAAAAACAAAATGTAATATTAGGTTTAACTGAAAAATTAATATTACAGGTAGCGGTCCTACACAACATGGGATCCTATAATAAAATTTTCATACAACACATGGATAACACAATGATTGTTTAACATATTTTACAAAATTAAATTACCTCAAAATAATGACGCGAAGTAATAATGAATTTTAAGTCTCGTATAACAACACTTATGCATTTTTTTAGGAACCTATCTACCGTGTTATAGTAGGAACAAGAACTTTTGGGGTTCATCCTAATAAATAATAATGTTTCATAAATTTAAGAATTATAATCAAGAAAAAGAGCAAGTAAGCAAGTAAGCATAATTCGAATGAATGATACTACGATAAAAGAAGTAAAAAGGAAAAAAAAAGAAATAATGCATACACACAGATACACACACACACGAAGTGTTCCAGGAAAGTGATTATTATATGTAGTAAGTTAAGTTCAGTTTCAAGAGACCGTTATGTAGGAGAAGATTTATTATTTGCTCGTCGTAATCGTTGCTATGCACGATCCTCCTCCACCTCCTCCACCTCTTCCTCCTCTTTCTCATTCTCCTCCTCACGTGCAAACTCAACGCCAGGAGCAGCAGCAGTTGTAGTAGACGGTCAAAAAGTTAATAGTGCATTAGCCGAAGAATGTGCTCTCCTTATATACCGAAAAAAAACTGACTGCATTCACGAGTATACATTTATGCGAATGGTTTTTTCTTCTTTTTTTTTTTAAGCTTTACAACAGCCCGTTTAAGACCATATTTAACTATACAGTCTTGTCGTTTTAGAAGGGCAACCCTTCTCACAGTTATACGTATGTAATAATATTTTTCGCATCTCTCTCTCTCTCTCTCTCTGTGCTGTGTCAATAAATACGCGCCAGAAGAGAGATCATTTTTTTTTTTACGGTGGTAATAATTTCCGTCGCACACCGTAAATCAAAGAACGGGACGGGATGTGTGAAAGGGTTACACCCGTGTATTTTTTTTTTTCTTTTCTTCCATTTCTTTCTTTTTCACTTGGAAACCGCGAGAAAAGGGCCGCCGACAAGGTCGTGGATGTTAAAAGGACCTTTAACGTCGAACCTTCCTTCCATTTTTTTTTTTTTTTTCTCTTCTTTCAATACGCGTAAAACGTGTACAACCATAAAAATATAAAGTCTACTATTTTTTTTCGTTAGGCCACCAAATTCCTTTCGTGGAATGGAATAATAAAATTCTTACTGTTTCAAAAATAAATGATTATAGTAATGCAGTTTCAATAGTTTCTACGTTCGTTCAACTTTAAACGGGATTTGTTCGATTATTTTTCTTACCTTGATGACGAATTCTAACATTCCTAAAGAAGTACGCGTTTTATCGATCTACTTTATAAGAGAGTCCACGTATTATAGGTAAAAAGCATTATATAGTACGTATATTAACGTGTTTATGTAGATTAATAGTAGTAGTAGTAGTAGTCTCTTGGTAAATTCCTTTTCCTGAGTCACGGGAAGTACCAACGAGTCTTTTTTACATTATTTAACGTGCTTTTATTTCTAAGCAGTCACGCGAGAAAACCTATTCCAACAATTCTATGAGGTGTCGCCATCAATCTTTATAATGTTTTCAACGAGTGTCATTCAACGTTGCATTAAATAATAATTATTATTATTCTCGTTGGACAAATGCAAAACAAATTAAAATATTGATTAAATGCATCCTTTATATTAATTTAATAGATTTCTATATATATACATTCGTACAATTTTTTTTTATATTTAACTTATCGATGAAAAACCAAAACAAAAAGGAAAAGAATAAAAAAATAATGAAAATATACGACACAAATTTGTGAACATTTGTTGAATCACGGTAGTATAATTTTAATCATGTACTGTATGTATATATATATATATATACATTTATAAATTTATTAATTTAATATACGGATATATTGTGATAAGGAAAAATGTTGTTTCATCGAATGAACAAGTAGACGTGTTAAAGTTATAAATCATCGAATCTAACAATTGGATATGCTTTTTGAGTCGCGAAAAAATACATCAGTCACGTAACACGTATATATACATATATATACAGCTACGAATAGTAATATCATCCCCCTCCCCCTGCTCCCACAAAATACGATGCAACAACGGTGTTATACCAGCAGAACTTTAACATGGTTTTAGGTGAAGCTCGACTAATGGTTTTTCGACGAGCACCAAATAAACTATCATGAAAGATAATTCGACAACCGTGAAGAGCACGTGTCTGGATCGTTAAGGGAAATGTCATTTGTACCTGTATAAAAGACAACTACATCTAAAGGCATGACATCTACGAGGATCATTAGATTTACATGCATATATACATACATACATATATACACCCATACTATTACTATGCAACCAGTAATCGTTGCAACGTCGAACGACACATCGCGTCTATGGGGAAAGACGATACATCATAATTCAGGGTAAAGCTACTACCCTGGAATCAACCTTCTACCTCCCTCCCTTCTTCCACCTCTTTCATCCCCTTACTATTCTAACATCCCACAATTCTTGGGTGAATATCGATGCAAGTCTGGAAAACACGCGATTATTTCAACGAAACTTTACCTATGGAAACATAGTACATACGATGAAAATCTATCACGTATTTTCCAATGTCTATAAAATATAAATGTGCACGTATTTAAAAAAAGAAAAAAAAGATATAATAAAATACTTATTGAAAAATTATAATATATTTTTTTTGTTTAATATCGGTATTATATAAAAGTATTGTTTCAGAGCTACGTAGAGAAAAAGTAATATCGGTTGGTTGATAATAATAAAACGTAAAATAGTCATAGCACCTTCAGAACTCGCAAAATCCTGGCTTTTTTTATACTCTCTTCCGTTTTCATTTTACGTATTACGACGCATTTCCCGTCCAATCGGGTAAGGAAAAGTATACCTGACTTTGCCTTATGAAATGTATTATACCAATAACCCGAATATAACGCGAGAGAATACGAATAAGCGGTAAGTTTCTATGAGAAACTGTGATCATGTTTTAAAATTGAAACGTTAGTATACTGCTAAAACGTTGCTTGAATTTCCACAAAATTCGACATGATTTTCTTTTCTCGTCTATGTTCTAATATTGTTGTTTATACAGGGTATCTCACATAACTCTAATCACGATTTTTCAAATATTTGCGATAATCTGACGAAAAAATACTTTAGACAAAAGTTGATCTGTTTTTTTAATGATTTTTATATTAAATTAAAGTATACTCTTTTATCTACGCGTAGAATACCTTATTGAATTATAAATCGATCTGCATAGGTTCATAAAATGTCAAAGAATGCAATGCTGTAAATTGTGCATCTTTGCAATTTCTGTTTGAAAAGTTTCGGTAAATATATTTTATACGATAATTTTTTATACGAAATATTTTTTATTTTTTATATTTTTAACGAACTTATATTCATTATTTAGTATTTTACAAAATGAAAAAGAAAACGTTTGTATTTTCAACACAGGAAAAAAAAAACTTTTTATTGGTAAAAAGTTAATTATTTTTTAAACTTAATTTTTACTATAATTTATTAATGGAAAAAAGTCAATAAGAATTAATATAAAAGTCTGAAAATAATTATTCGAAGATAATGACAATAATAAAAAAAAAAAAAATGATTAAATTAATTTTAATATTTTTCCGCACATCGTCGTAGGACTGAAAAGAAACATGTTATTGTGCGGTGCTTCTTTGAGTGAAACAGCTTTTATGATTTCTTGAGACATAACTCCGCCAATTATGGCACAAACTGGACTAATTTGGCCATACAAATTTTCCCTGAAAATTAAAATCAAATAATATATAACGAGAAATGAATTTATAGTATGTTTATAGTTTTAAATGAATAAATTAAAGGATACGTACTTTGACAAATATTTGACTAAATCTTGTAATTCATATTTGTCTGCAATCTCTTTCATTTCCTCGTGCAATTTTTCGGAATTTCTTTCACTAGGTAAAGGATCCCTGTTATGTTTCTCACGATAATGCAGCATTGCTATAAAATTGAACAACAAATGAAAATATCAAAAATTTCAAAATAATCATTAAAAAAGAAAAGATACTTACTCATCAATCCATAATACATTACTGCATCATGTGTAGGAACAAGACTTTTATCCAAATCTATGATAGATTCAAAAGGGACAAATGTATCCTTGCGCTTTTCAGTAACAACTATTTTTTCAATTCGATCTTTGGTTGGACTATCTTCGGTAACAGATACTGACTTAGTTTGTACAACTTCCCTAAAAAACATAGCTCTGCATTGATATTGAATTATAGAAACATTTTATCTCCAGTAAAGAAAATAACTAACTCGATATATTCATGTTCCATCAAATCTGCGAAAGTATATCCAAAAGAACCCCAAACATCTCCAGCAAAGAATTTTACATTATGCTCCCTGCATATCTTATTAATTCTTTTTAATTGAGTAATAGTACACTGTATAGCACAAATGACATTGAAATTACTGAAATATTCATCCGGCTTATCATCCACATTAGTAGTATCTGCCTTAACGACAACCATAGGATTCAAATTCTGTGCTCTTTGCAAAGATACTTCTGCTCTCTGTAAAAATACATAATAGTATATAAAGAAAATGTTTAATTGTATCAAATGAATTGTCATAAAACTACTTACATTTTTACCTAGTTGATCACGAGGTAAAAAAAACTGTGCACAGGTATCTTCTATTGTCATATTCCTATGATCTAAAATAGTTACTGTTTTAACACCCACCAATATTATATTTTTAGCAATCTCAGAAGAAAATCCATTCATTCCGATAATCAAAACTTTTGCTGATCTTAATCTGCAAACAAATAATTACATTTATGTGATTAATTATATAGATATTATTTATAAAATTTAAACATTTTTTTAATAAATATATTTCCTAATATTAAATAATACTTGTTCTATTCTATATTATGGTATATATGCATGGTTAAAATATTTATAAACATTTATTACAAATATTAAATAAATATATTACCATGAAATTCTGAATATGTTCAAACGCCGGTTACCATTTATAGGTTATAATAATTATATTTACCGTCTCTGTGATTCCACACCCCATAAGCGAATTTGCCGATCGTATAATTCAGCCTCGGCATCTGTTAATTCTATTACATTATTTTTATTCTCAGTCATGATTCAAATAAAAATAAAATTATCAATAAGAAAAGCAAATAGTTTGTATAAAGAATACTAATAGTGTTACTAAACACACACAATTCAGTGGTGTCAACATAATAATTTTCCCGCTTTAAATATCAAATCTAGTAATAATTAATGCAATTTTTTTTATAGGTTATATTGTCCATATTTTTACGAAAAAACATAATAAACGTGTGAAAAAAAATCGACATTAAATATAATTTAACATAATTTATATTATAAAATTAATAATTTGATTTTGCTGCTTAATCATTAGGCTTTATAAAATATATGAAACGATATAGTTTAACTTTATTCAGTAATAATAATAATAATATGCAACACAAAATTATCTATATAGAAATACCAAATTTTAAGTTGGTAGTACTGGATTAAGTAATTGCGGGGGTGTTTACAGTTCACAGTTAGTGATTGTTTTCCTTACGAATAATATATTATTTTGAAAGGATTATATAAAACAATGTGCGGTAAATTTAATAAAGCACACGTTAACCGATCAAGATTAAATTATAATCAATTAAATCATTGTTAACGATAGTATGAATAGATTAAAAATTTCATCTAAGAGAATTAGGTTAACCACGAAGAATCACAACATGACGTTTCAACGATCTATCATCTAAGTATTGTATATATATATATGTATTATCAGTGTATGTACACATCAAAAACGAAAATATTGAAATTATTTCTATTTTATATAATTAATAAGCGTAAGTGTTTTAATTCATATGTATTTTTTTTTTTTCTTTTTTAAACTATTTCTATTTCACGTAGTATACCTATTTTATTAATGTTAATGTAGAATGATTTATTCGGCTTGTATTAAACTCCTTTTTCCATTGATAACAATTTTATTATCAATTTGATATTTGATGCCATTTAAAATGATCGGTTTAGAAAAACTTTACCATTTTCACAACAATTCATTTTTAAATAAACATATACTAATGTTTTAAGATTTCATATTTGTTGATAAAATAGATTGTAAAAAAATTATATTGATAAAAAGAATTCCTATTTATAGAGAATATAAAATTTATATTAAAATTAGATTTGATATTATAGATGACTAAATTAGGTGTAAAAATGTTTATCGTGAAATGATTCCTGATAAACAAACACGTACATATATTTCTAGAGATTATCTTTAACCATTTGACCTGAACGTTGCGAAAGTTGACCTTAAAGTAATAAGCAACACTCGCTTTAACATCGAACTGCATTGACCTCTTATAATTTTTTAATATAATTATGTGTTTATTATAATAACCAAATTTAATTAATTAAAATGAACGTTTTATAACATGTTATATATTTAAGTTCGTATAATACAAGATTTTTCATTTTTAGCATGAAAAATGAATCTACTCGAAGAAGAATGCATTGAAAAGGTTTTTATATACAAATTTCCAACATGTACAACAAAGGAAGAATACGTATTAGAAATACCTTTGAAAATTCCATATCAAGGTTCTATCAAAGAGTTAACGTATAGAATTATGTCATCGTTTAAATTACCATGCTACGTTGAGTCAGATTTAATGGAAACTATACAGCGTACTATTAAAGAATTAACTTTACAATACTACGATGAAAAGTCAGAGAAAGTTATAGATGCTACGAAGAAAGGTGATCTGAATATAGAAGATATTATTAAAAACTTGGAAAAGATATATAAACAAAAAACAGTAGAATATGCTGATCCGATAGGAACAACCGATGAAGAATTATTTGCGACAGCTTATCATAGATTAGTACACTCGCCATCCTTAGAACCAATTCTACAAGCGGAACATAAATATGGTAGAGATGTTACAGAAGTCATTCAAATGAGGAACACAAATTATGAACAGCTCACACAAAAGTTAGTACTTATATACTTGATCTATGTTACCGAAAAAGCTACTTAGAAAAAAATATTTTTATTCTTATGCTAAAAGAGTCTCTGCCAGATGATAAGTTTAATCGATAATACAAAAAAAAATAATATATAATATCATTTTTATCAATCATATTTCTCACTTGAAAGTATATTAGCAGAGAAAGGTCAAGATTATAATATATCTTTAGTAGACAAATGTATGGGAAATAAGTTATGACTTGTATAGACTTTCTCGCATAGATTATCTCAGTAATTCGAATACTATTGAGATTATAGAAGAAGCCAACGATCGTTTTAACTATACATCATTGCAACATACTAATTATCTTAAACTAATTGATAGATTTATTAGGTTCGAGTTGAGACAAATATTTTGTTCCCAATACTGATAAAGTTTTATATACACATCATCGTTTTATTTATAACAAATTATCCACCTAATCATTTTTTTTCTGTGAATGCGACAATATGAAAAATGTAATTAGAAATTTCATATTAAGTATATTATATTATAAATTAATAATTTTAAATAAATATATATATGTGTGTGTGTGTGTGTGTGTTAGATATATTATCGTGTTAAGATTAAAATAATCATAAGGCATAGTTTAATTTCGAATGAAATTATTAGTAGAGTTTTATTTAAATGCAATTGATTTACAATTAGAGACAAATCAATTACTTTCAAAATATACAAACAAAATATTCCAATGGAGAATCGATAGAAAATAAATGGTCTTTCAGACAAACTGAGGAAATGCGTCTTGCCGTAGAAGCTTTGGAAGCTGGATCGACTGAAAAATCTATAAACGATATGGCAGGKCGTCATTTTGAGGAGCAAAGTTTACTACAGGGCCATTGGGGTTCGAGAGTCGATGCTTTAAAATTAGAACAAAGACGACAGTATCGTAATTGGATTATGAAATTATTGGAAGAACAACAAACGAATATGCTACCGACTCCTGTGTAAGTTTCTTTTTTTATTTTTTATTTTGAGGACCTATAGAAGAAGGAGAAGAAGAAAAAACAAACATTCGAAAAAAAATTCTTCGATATAATAAGTAAGAAAATTAATGATAAAAATAAAATTAGGGGTTCTCCGATGATACCAATGCCACCATTAAGACCAGGCTTAGGTACGTTTGTACCAAACGAAGAAAAACAAACGTCAGATTATCCTGTACTTGAAGAAAGTTTTACCATACATTTAGGCTCGCAAATGAAACAAATGCATAATATACGAATACTCACCGGCGATGTTCTCGATTTTTGTCGTACAAAAAAAAACGATTCAGGGTAAAACCGTATTGAAGATAAATTATATTTCAATTATTTCAACGATATATTTATTTTTGTTAATATTACGTTTGAACTTAAATGTCTGTTCTTAAAACAATAGGGTTCCAACGCCGCAGAGATTGCAAACAGCGTTAGGATTATATTCAAACGATTTGTGCGGATTGGTTTTGTTAAGTGATAATCATCTGGGCAGTTATTCAGGAATAACAAAAGGTGTTAGATTGCTTAATATTGTGTTCGTTGATTACAAATATTCAATTGTTAATAGTTTTTAATGTATTGGGTGGATTGTAGAATTGTGTTCGATATGTCAATTGACGACAGAATTTCATTTTCCCCCGATCGACGAACAATTGGAAAAAATTCGTGATGACGTTAAGGAAGCTGTTGCATGGCGACAAGCTCATCATCGGGAAGGAAGCGATCCTCAGGTAAAATATCACATCGAATCTTCTTGTTTCTTTCGAATATAATAATAATAATAATAATAAGAAGAAGAAGAAGAAGATTATATATATTATTTCATTATTTTAGACAAAAAAACCACCAATGAGTAAGACGTTACAAACCGGTGACGTTTTTATTACGAGACATTCCAATTTAGCACAAGTCCATGTAGTATTTCACATGGTTGTAAATGATTCTTTAAGATCTGGTAGGTGATTATTATTTTATAAATAACAAAAAAGGGGAAACGTACTTTATAAAATGAACAAAATCGTAGGTGATATTAATTCAAGGCATCCAGCCATTTTGGGATTGAGGAATATATTGAAAACAGCTTGTTGCAACGACGTTACTACATTGACTATTCCAGTTCTTCTAGTTCATGAAATGACAGAGGTCAGTTTTGTATTGTTACTAGAGAATCAAATTAAAATTATATTCGACAAATTAAATCGATGGGATTTTGTATTGATCATCAGGAAATGACAGTGGCGTGGTGTACCAAAAGAGCCGAACTCGTTTTCAAATGTGTCAAAGGTTTTATGATAGAAATGGCATCGTGGGGTGGAGCAGAATTAAAAAATTTACAATTCCTTGTACCTAAGGTACACATTTATTAAGTTTATCGTTATCAAATTGATTTGATCTACTTTAATATGTTTTTTTGTTTTTTCTTTTTCTTTTTGTTTTTTATTATAGGGAATGTCGGAAGAAGTTTTTGGAACTCTAGCAACGATGTTACCAAGCATATTTCGGGTATCTAATCCATTGGTATTTAAAGCTACGAGTACACCGCAAACTCCAAAAAAATGAATCGCGTATCTTGCCTTTGTTATTGAAGAAAAATCCAAAATATTACGATATTTGTTACTATGTGTCACCATATATCTCATGCGCAATCGTTCATTTCGAACGTATAAAGATGATACGAACGAACGCTGTGAATAAACGTTTAAACTCTTAATGAGCTTTTTGTTTGAAATTTATTTCGCACCGTTCAAACCGATAAATCTCGTAAAATTATCGTTCGTCTTCGTCTGACTTATTTATTTTTTTTTCTTTTTTAATTTGCTATATACATATAAATTATATATGTTATTATAAGAATGCGTACCAACCGAATCTAATCGAATCTCGAAATGAATTATTAATATTGCAAAATAAAATGTGTTAATAATATTGCGATAACGATATTTAATACAGAAGTTTTATATTATATTTGATATAAAGGAAGAAATGATCTTTGATTTACGAGTACTCGAGCAATAACAATTTGTATCGAAGATCAAAAGGGCAATTAAAAAAAAAAAAAAAGAGAGAAGAAAAATAAAAAGAAGAAGAAGAAGAAAAAAAGAAGAAGATTATACCTGCACGACGTTATTATAATATATAGAAAAGATTTTAATAAAAATTTTTTCGGTTTATTTATCGCGAACGAAAAAAAAAAAAAAAAAAAAAAAAAAAAAAAAAAAAAAAAGAAAAAAAGAAAAGAAGAAAAAAATTGATAAAAACTCGGCACAAATAAGTAAGATATCATTATTTTTAACTGCAAATTAATTTAGCAACTGACAATGAAGAGAGAAAGAGAACTCGATGGAAAAAAGAAAAAAAAAAAAAAAGGAAAAAAAAAAAGAAATCTTTATCGTCGTTAGACATTCGGTTCATCTACACGAAGAGTCAGGAATTATCACGTTCACCCTGTATTTTTATTCCCAAAGAAACACATTATAAAGAATAGATTAACGTTTATAATATTTCGTTGCATCGAATATTTACGAACGAACATTTTTTTCTTTCTTTCTTTTTCTATTCTTTTTTTATTTTTATTTTTTTAAGATCATCATCACGCCGATCAAAGAATTTTGCAATCAAAATCATCAACAAAAATCGTAACTTAAAATTATTTGTCGAAAAAAAAAAATATTGATACCGATTAAACGTTTGATGGTTTAATAAAAAAGAAAAAAGAAAAAAAAAAAAACAATTACGGCCGAACGCACGAGATGGTAATAAAAAAAATAATATTGGTATTAATACAATAATCAAAGAATCGAACGCGAACGAGAATTAAACGCGAATAATAATAATCGTCGGTTTTATCGTAAAAATGAAGTACGTTCGCCTCTGAACGATTCTGAACTTTTGATTCGAGAAAACGTATTCTGTCATTACAAGTGCCCCGGGTATATACAAATGGTTCACATTCTCCAAAACAAAATTATCTTTTAAGAATTCGAATAAAGTATACCGATATATGATAAATAAAATTGTATAAAGAAATATATTAATATTGAAATTACATTTTTTTAAGAATTTCTTACAATTGTGTTAAAGAAATATTTAATCAGAAAAAAAATTTGTCGATAGAAATAAATCTAAAAATTATAATGAAATTATACGAATTAATATAATGTTATAGAATTATAAAATGTTATATATTTAATAATATTTCATATGATTTGTATGATAATATTATCAAAAAAAAAAAAATGAAGATATATATTATAATATTTTATATTTAATAATTAAAATACAATTTGACACACACAGTATAATATATGAATAAATAATAATTGCAGTTTGTATATAGTTACCACATACGAACCCCTTATAATTCGGCACTGAGATGAACGAACACAGGGAACTGTCGCTGATGAATTCGTTGTCATTCCACTGGATCATTTTGTGAGAAGCATTTATTCGAAGTTAAGTCTCTCTCAGTTATTAAGAAAGGATCCACAAAGGATTAATATATCGATTTAAATATATTTTTATTTTTATACAATTTAATATATCAAACCAGAGTAAAACGCACAACAGAGAAAAATTTTGGAGAAATATGTCGCTTGGAATAATTTTCGTTTTAACTTCGATCCTGTCTTTCGTTTCGGCAAATATGGTGGGTGGTGTTTCACCTATTATCATCGTCATTAATATTATCATCACGATCATCGTTATCTCCTTAGTGAATATTGACTTAAGTGATATATTTTGTTTATTTAATTAATCGTTTATCAAAATGCAGCTCGTAATCGTTTCGGAAATGTCCGACACCATGAAATATCTTCTTCCGGTTTCGTTATCTATTTCCTACGTGTTTAATATTTCCTATTTGTCTCTCTTTCTCTTCAAATGTTTCAATTAAATCTTATCGTTATTAATAATCACCCACTTAATACGAATTAATAAATTCGCGCCGGATTATTTTTTGTATGGTAATAATATGTGTGTATGCGTGTGTGTGTGTGTGTGTGTTTTTTAACCAGGAATCGGATAACACGTGTAACTGAGATTTCATTGATTTATTTATTTATTTTGAAGATAAATAATTATTACGTTAGGAGTTGAAAACTTCTGTGATAATTGATTATTTTATAAAATATTATATGTTAACGTTTTAGTTATATCGTTAAATCTCGAACGAAATAAATTTAGGTGTTTATCGGAAAGTATATAGAAAAAAAAATTATACACTTAAGGTAATTATTTAAAGGAAAAAAATTCGAGAAAATATAAATTTACAATAGGCGATTAGTTTAAATATGAAATTGTAATTTGATTCATTCTTTAAATCACCGAATTTTCATTCGCTACGTTCCCCGAAATTTTCTCGATACAAAATATTTGTTTTTAAAGTTATATATGTCAGAGTTTTTCTTTTTTATAACGTAATACTATCGAAATCAAAGCTGCCAAAAATCTTCCTTGTCCCACGTTAAAAATCGGCTAGAAAAATTGTCGTTAATAGAAAAGAAAAAACAATACGAATTTTTACATTTTTAGGTAAATCTTACCAATAGCAATTTAAAGAAAGAAGATTTCTTCTTGAAGATTCAATCAACGATATCTCTAAGCGAGGTGACGGATCTGATATTACGTCAAAACCAATTCGACAGTTTTTTAGATTGCTCAACGAATTTGAGTTCATTGAAAACGTTGGATCTATCACAGAATCATCTACAACGTTTTTTCTTTCTCTGCAAAGACGAATACAATCTTCAGGTGTTAAATGTCAGTCATAACAAATTGGAATATATCGATGACAATGCGCTTAATAATAGAATACCAAAATTAAAAATATTGGATTTATCATCTAACAAACTTTCTGTCGTCAATGAGACTATGTTGGAACATTTGAAGGTACGTTTCTTTTTTTTATTGTTTTATTTTATTTTCCTATTAAAAGAACAATCGAAACAAAACGATATTTATTCGAAGGATTTCGTAAAAAAGAAATAAAGATAATTTGATTGACGAGTTGATACGAATTTATTTTTTTTTAGATTTTAGAATTTCTTTCGCTAGCTAACAACCCAATTGCCGATGGAATACACGAGAATGCATTTTGGCCTTTGACCAAATTGAAACATCTCGATTTAAGAAACATCTCGTGTACTTTCTTCTCTGCAGAACTATTTAAAAGTTTAAATAATCTTTCAACTTTGGATTTATCTTGGAACCCGATAAGTACGGTCCCTTTGTTACCGATAAATCTAGAAAAATTGGATATATCAGGAACGCAGATATTTCAATTGGCTGGTTTCTATTTACCACGATTAAGAGAATTTCAAATGAATAATATGCCAAATTTAACGAAAGTTGCGTTAAATGATTTAGAAAATTTAACGAGTTTGGAGATATTATCGTTGATCGGTTGTAGAAATTTAGTACAACTCACGGTTTGGCCGCACCGCGGCGCTTTATTACCAAGATTGCAACGTTTATTTATCGACAATTGTGCTTTGGAAACATTGGAATCCGATCTTCGTTTAATTTTACAAAGAACAGCGGTCGTAAGTCTTCGGGATAATCCTTGGAAATGTGATTGCAGAATGCAATGGGTTAATATTAATAATTCTTCGAAAGAATTGAACACGGAGATAAGGTAGGAAACTACATTCTTATGGTAAAAAATGGTTTTAGTGTATCTATAGTTTCGCGTTTTAGTTCATAGATGGCACTAGTAATACCTTTTTCTATATAATCGAATTAATTAATATAATATAAAAATGATTTTTATTTATATACTTTTTATTAAATGTTATTGATATGTAAATAACAATTAATAATGAGATAAATATTTGTAGGTGTTCAATGCCGGATAAACATCGTAGTAAACTTCTCAAAGAAATTCCAATATACGAGTTAGAGTGCGACTCGATTTCATCGATTTTTTATCCGATTTTATGGACTTGCATAACGTTACTGATCCTTTTAATTTTTCTTCTAAGTGTTTTCTTCATCGTTAAGAGACAAGGTGGACAATGGACTGTTCGAAGACGAAATCAGGATACCGTTACTTACACGAACGTTGTAGAATCCTCGAATGATCTGATAAGAATATTAACTGTTAGCGATAATCACGAACGTAATGATGAATGAACAATTGAAGAAAGAAAGGAAAGAAAGAAATACAGCAACAACAACAACAAAATTAAATATCGAAATAAAAAAAAGAGACAATTATCGTTTTCGAACAATTTAATATATTCTAATTACAATTAGAAATAATTTTGTTAAACATGTTTTTTGTTTGTTTTCTTTTTCTTTTTCTTTTTTCTATACAGACACACGTGTACAGTACTCCTTTTTTTCATAAATAATAATATTGCGTTACGCGTTAATAAAAATTGAGATAATATAATTATTATAGTCAATATTGCGAGATTAGGAAAAAATTAATAATTTAATAATTGTACTTATACGTTTTTCGATCATTCTTCTACTTACATTATCAAATTTTAATATATTAGATAATAATTTGATTATTTTATTAATTCTTTCACCGAGCGCGGAAGTAAATGATCGATATATGTTTTTTATTTAAATTATATCAAATAAAATATATATATATGTAAAAGAAGGTTGAATCGATGAATATAAAAAAAAAATTATTAATATTATTGATTTATATATATGTTATAGTTTTTTTCGTCGAATATAGAATCGATTATTATTAAGAAATAAAAGATAATAAATGAAATGATCTATGGATCAACAAGGCTCGTTTTTTTTTTAGTGCCATTATCATTTTTTCTCTCTCTCTTTCTTTTTTTTTTTTATCTTTTTTATATTTCTTTTTCAAACCCGATTCACCGGTTGGCAATTACAAGTTGGAGTACTACCCAACGTTGTATGCTTCGTAATATTCGATAATAGTTATAAGTTCTTTGTAAACGAATAAAACACTTTTGTCAGTAGGCATTCAACTGTTTTTCGAAACCCTTTACCTTTCGAAAACCTTGTCCGTAAACTGTGTTGCCATACCACAAAAGAATGAGTACAAAGAGGGAAAAATGGTTGATTGCGTTCGAATGAAACTGAAGAGAGGAATAGTAGTAGTAGTAGTAGTAATAGTTTTTTTCTTTTTCTTTTAGTATTGCCTTTTTCTTTATTTCTTTCTTCAAAGGCAAATAATCGTACATACAAATATTATATATCGTTTCTAAATCCTTTTTGATATACATATATGATATATATATATATATACAATGATGGGGAAACAAATTAAGAATTCGTTTTAAAGGATTTCGTCTATATACGAGTTGTTGAATGAAATGAATCATTAATTATTAATAAACGCATAAATGCATTGAAATTGTATTCATTCTAACACTTATATTTTTACATACAATAATTATAATTTATATAATAATTGTATGTAATAATATATAATAATAATAATATTATATAATTATATTATGTAGTAATATTATGTAATACATATGTATATATATATATATGTCAATGTTATTAAATTAATTATATTCGATATAATATGATATATATAAATTGCATTAATAAATATTATACTATATTAAAAAGTAACAAACAAAAATAACAATAATCTATAATTAGAGACACATAACAATAATTTTCATGAATAGATATGATAAAAAAAAAAGTCAGAGAGTATATTGATGGGGTTTTACATGGGGTACCAAAGCCAGTCAGCACATCATATACCTATAACACATTATAAAGAAAGAATAATATAATCGAGCAAATGGTGCTATGAAGATCATCAGTTTCCCTGACGTGAATCGTGATCGCGTGCGATGTAGCGATCAGCCTTTGTACCGAAGCATGATCTTCCTACGGGAAGCCTATTGGGTTACGGGTCGTGCATGGAGAGCCCCCATATGCAAGACCGACGTATTACGGTAAAGGGAGAAGATCATGGAGGCAGCCCACACGATGATGGTCAAAAGAAAAAGGTAGAGATAGACAGAGAATATTAATAAAAAGAAATATATTAATGTTTGTACAAGAGAGAATGAAAATATACAAAAAAGAAAAATGCAATAGTGTAGAAGAGAGAAAGAAAATATATACAAACAAAAAATATAAGAGTGTATAAGAGAGAAAGAAAATATA